GCAGAGAAAATGAGAAGTAATTACAGTATGTTCTACTATTTACAATATCTTATATCCTATCATTTTACCTGACTAATGTAATACTAGTGAATAATATAGCTACACAGGGATATATTTAACATGTTAATATATAAAAGACATTATTATAAAATGGATCTGCACTCTAATTAAGGTAGAATGGGAAATCCAAATACACTGATAACTAACTCTTGATTTAAATGATTTCTTACAAAATAGGGATATGGAAGAAAAAGGTTTGCAGAAAACCTGAACAAACATAACCATATTAGTTGTGTTTTATGAAATGAAAAGGCAGTAGATGGGTTTGTTATTATAAGGGACACAGTGTACAAAACACTACACTAATGTTTCTGTACTTATGTCTACACAGCATTTTGGACTGAGCCTCCTAGTCCAAATTAAGAGGTGTGGGCTAGTGGGACACACACTAACATTCAAAAAGTAGTTCATGCTTACCAAAGGGCTAGAAAACTGCTCCTTTCACTTTTTATAACCACTGGATAAATATCCAGAAGCAGTCAACAACCCAAGAAGACTCCAAAATTAAGAGACAAAATCAAAAGCCAAGAGACCAAGTTTACTAGTCAGTTTGAAATGCACTGCCTACATATCTTAATGCTACTATGAAATGTCTGGCAGTAAAATGGGTGCTGCCAAGAACAGAGGAGCAGAGAGAGCAACGGAAAGAAAAATTATGGGGATTTCAATATGTCCTGACTTGCCAATGAAGAGATCAGACAGCAGAATGGAGGCTCTAGGTTACTGTAAAATTCCTGAGCTTTGTTACTGCATGTATTTAAAGATGGAAGAGACCTAATATAGTGATTTCTAAACACATAGTTCAGATCTGCGACTGAGTGATGCCCCCGAACTTCAAAGGCAGGATGCCAACTAGGGCTCCAGATGGTTTCAACAAAAATACCGGGCACACTTGACATTACATCACAATCTACATTACATCTTACTGTATTTAGAAAATACCGGACATTTATATTTTCTCAATTTGTTTCCCAAACAGAAAGCTCAAATACTGGACTGTCCAGTTCAAAACCAGACACCTGGCAACCGTCCACATGACACTATACTCAGCACCATTTTGCTGATGGCTGGGCTCTTATCCAAGTTCTGCTCATGAAACTAATTTCGAAGCAGCTCTCAATTTAGTTTCTATATACAAATGTAACATTTCAGAGGTCCTGCTGATTGCTAAGTGCTGGTCTGAGGCTTGTTTTACACTAGTACCTTATGTCAGTATAAAGTATGTTGCTTTACTAAGCACCACAGCTGCTCTGCTGTAAGTACAGACAAGCCCTGAGGAAGTAAACCTCCCTGTTTAAGTAGTCCTAAGCCTCTACCAATGCATTAACAGGCCTTTAGACTCCATGATGATACCTTTTCTGGGTGCCATCCAATAGCTGACAAGAAAGAACTAAATGGAAAATCAATACTAGTGTCTTTCTTCAAGGCAGAGATCGTCAAGAAACCCAATCAGGGAATGAAGTAACTGAGCTCAGCTAGAATGAATTCTTCAGTAATAGGGAGCTAGAGGAAGAATTTGACTGACTCTGCATTTGGATGGATCTATGAACCATTTGGCTTCAAAAACCCTTTTGGCCTACTTTGAACAAACTCCCTAACTAAAAGTTTTATACTGTTTTTCCTTCACCTTTTTAAAACTTGTCTAATCTGCCCAGGTTCTGCTTTTATTAGCACCTTTCTTGGTGGGTCATTTGTACAATAAATGTATTAGTGCCTAATTTATAAATAGATTCATCCCACAAAGAAGCTAGCCATGTCATACTCTAGAGGCAGACCATCACCAAAGCAGATTTGAACAGTCAGCATCCAAACTAGATTATAGTCAGAAAACACATTGGATTACATGCAGAAGAGAAAAACTGGTAGGTGAATAACTGATGTACACAAACAAATTAATGCTTAAAACAGTCCAATATGTTAAGACATACTATAGATTATAAAAACACAATCCTACGCCCTGAAAAACTTGTTTAATATTGATGAATTCTTTTATTGCTTTGAATTGTAAAGTTACTGAGCTTATTTCAGAGTTGTCAGTGTGACTTTGTAATTCCTCCAGCTGAAGTCCTCAAACTTTGTTCCTACAACCAAAAGTTGCACAAATGTTGTGCATACATTTGGACAAGTCGTGGGTACACAATTAGATTGCAGTTTTATTGCCACACATATTATATAATTATTTACTTAGCATTAAAATGAAAATAATAGCACAATTGCCAAATCTGTAATTACTAATATAGATAACTTATAGCTATTTATACTACCTAAAAATCTCATCCATGTTTTCTTTTGCAAAGAGATCTGATTTTACAAGATGAAAGGAATGGTTTTTAACATCTGACATAGGACACTAGTTGTTTAGAAGTCAGTAAATCAATGAAAGCACATCATTCACACAATCAAAACATTGGGGTTGGATTTAGCATCCTTATCAAAAGGATAAACAGCAGGGTCCTACTCCCCTCTTCTTGGAGCCCGTTACAATGGAGCTGGTAGAAGACCATAACATGCAGCTATCACAATGTTCAAGTCAATTATGTCACTTACAAATCCATTAGGGAAAAGCCCTATAGACCATACACCTACCTAGCATTTAGGTGTGAACTAGAGCGAGCCTTCCAGCTAGGTTGCCAGATGTGCAATAGTAGGCCTGCCCTAGAGCTCTAAAATAGCGATATAGATGCACTTTAAAGTTTCAGCTCAGTCTCTGCAGTATAGAGAGGCTTGCTCTCTATTGTTATTTGCTAAAAAGTGCCAAACACAACCTATCAACTATTTTGTATCTTTCAACCCCCTTAATTTCAGTGGAAGTTGACAGCTGACTGCAGGGAGCAGTCAGTACTCTATAAAATCAGTCTTCAAAAAATGCTCTCTCCTCAAAATGTCAGAATGTTATGTAATATCTGGCAGCAGACAATTTTTCATGCCTAAAAAAGAATTATCTTTCTAAATTACACTGGTATAGTGGCATCCATCAATATACCATTAAGCATTTTGTAATATTTATCTTTTTTTGCAAAATACAGGTCTGTTCAAATATATGACACACAAAACCCAAAAAGCTCATGATACCATCTACTTGTGTTGTTAGTCTTTAAGGAGTTGCTAGACTATTTGTTGTTTATAAAGTTTTTCCAGTTACAGACTAACTCGGCTACCCCTCTGAAGCCAAAAAAGATGTTCCTGGTTTTCATCCACTAGGTGGTGCAATGTGGTTTGCTTCAAGGCAGTCTGAAGGAGTTGGCACTCTTCCACATGCAATTTCTGTAAATTTTGCAAAGGTCACATTAGTCAAGTTTAGGCAGGAGGCTGTGATTTCTGTTTATTTTTAGAATAATGAATGCTAGGAAGATACGCCCGACTAGATATTTGTGCTCAAGAATATTTCAAATAACTAACTGGGGGATGAAACAGAGACAATCTTAATTTGAATTTTGTGGATTTAAATATCACTTTTAAAAAGTTACATTAAAACAGTGTTTGTGACTGACTCTGTTTGTCTTCATGCAGACCTATACAAAAATGAAAGTATATTTGTCTATTTTCATGTAAATGGACCAAGAGA